CAGCAACTTTGGCAGCTATAACGAACAGTTAACCGTTGGTGGGCAGTAGTGAATGATGGTATTGGGCGGGCAGAATGCATTCGATCGAAAAGTTTTCATTATGTTTCGGAGAACTTACATGTCTACGGATGCCTCCGGATCCTGAGCCCGGTGCCATGGAACACGGGCTATCAACGCTCCAGTTCATTTGTTTGCCGACTGTACGGATGTATGTCCATATCCATATCCACGACTATACTGACCCCGCCTGACTGGATGCATCCGAGTGTGGGCGTGGCATTCAGTCAACTATTTAGCACTTGCACAGTAGGCAAATTGTCGTACGCACAGACCCATGAAATTGAATTGTAAGGGCTGGGGATGGGGAAGAGAAGGATAGTAGTGCCAAGCGGGGATTATAAAAATTGCTATGGAATTTAACACACTTACCCATTTAAAGAACTCGTACATAACATTTATAAATCGTTAATGAAAAAAGCTTTTAGCAAAAACATCTCTTAAGTCGTGACAACCGCATTTCTAGTCCAAAACTTCCATTTAAAGCCCTATCTATCATGTTCTTTTGAAGAATTTGGTACCATTCATATTTTTGATATGATATTATGATAAAATAAAATTATTGACCATCTTGACCACAAGAATTTGCGATAAGTGTCTGAAGAAACCTTTTGCCTGCTAGTTAATAAATTATACTAAAAATGAACACAAAATATAGGTCACAATTTTCAAAGTATTACTCTTACATCTATTCTCCAAACTACAGTTCGTTTTCTAGGTTTAAAACTTATTTTTTGGTTGTATGATTAAAAATATATAAAATATAGGGCAATGTTCTTAAGCCCTAAATTAACATTCCTTACATAGGATTAAAGTCATGAGCCCTTTAGCTTTCAATGCGACACTCGTAGACTGCGAAATAAAAAATACAACTTTCCCAGACCTAATAACCGTGTCGGTGTTAATAGGCTTAACATCAAAAAATATAATGAATGAATGCTAAAAATAAGAAGAATTGATTTTTATGTGATCTCAATAAAAAATGTTGACAAATTCAAATTTTTATCGCTCACTCACGACCACCAACATAGCAACTGGTTTTTTTTTTGGAAAATCTTAAGCGCATTAAAAAGCTAAATATCTTTTCCGGCCCAAACAAGCTTATTTGTCAGGCAAAGATGGTATGAGGTTCTTAAATGGTTTCACTCAAACTAAAAATGCGGCTCAAACCGAAACCGATTTCCCCTTCAAACCATGTATCCAGCAACATTCAGGGGAAAATCAGTTTTTCACCCCAGCCTGCAACATTTTGGACTTTTCACTCAAGTCTGAGCTGCAACTTTGGGCCGATGTTTGAGACCGATGTTTCCTTCAAACAAGTTCGTCTAAAAAATCAAAGAACAGCTTCATGTGACTAAGTAGCTCATTGAAATACCTCCTTCTATATCTGGCAGATATTCAGGTAAACTAATGAGATTTAATCAAAGAAAATGTTTCATTTGATAAAAAATATCCCTCACACACAGCTATATATATTTTTGTAAAATGTTTTGAGTTATTGCAGTTTAAAACATTTTGTTTCTAATTCTTTGTCGTATGTTTATTTGTTGACTTACAAATTTTTACTTAAAACAAACTTTTTGTATAACTCAAATTTGTAACCTTAAATATAAAAGTATTTACATTTTCATATTATACCATTTAGTCAATAAACAATTTTGAAACTTTTCTGAATGTTTATTAAATATTTTTTGCAATTTAATTTAATTTTTTTAACGAATTAACAATAAAATCGTTTTAAAATTAACCTCTTGAATTAATAAAATGTATTCCTTATTCATTTTATCATATCACATTCAACAGTCAAGCTCATTAATTAAAGAGAATTCCTATACTGATTTGGAAATTTCCTTGGCCTGCGGTCAAAAATCTTTGTACAACAAATCAACAACTGGCTTCTGGTGACTGATTAGTTCTCAACAGATATCGAAGGACATGTGGTGGCGCAACCGAAGAACATTTCTCACTTTGTATTCCCAAGTGTCCCCGTGCTCCATGTTTGTGTCCTGTCAGGAGCAGTTTTAGGCTGGGCAGAAGCATACCCGCAGACAAAAGCTATGGATTGAGTTAGTCCATCGGGGCGTTTATTGCATTTACATAAACCCCAGTTAGTTTCGAATAGATTCGAGAGCAATGCATATCCACAAGACCAGGCCCGGTCAAGCATAGGACAATTAACACTATTTTACAAAATTTATTTACCTATATAAGGCAGTTGGACTCCCCGATTAACACATTGATAAACTATTTTTGAATTTAGGAATTGGTTAACCAGATCCTAAGATTATGAGATTCGTTTCACTCTTTTAATATATCAAAATTGTTCATAGATGGCGCTAGGTTTATTCTACATACATTCTACATATTTATTTACATATGTCGCCAATAACCATACAAAACAAGGAAGAACGCTATAGTCGAGTACCTCGACTATCAGATACCCGTTACTCAGCTAAAAAGAGATATGCAAGTAGCAAAGCGAGATTAAAAGCGCCACCTACCGGCGGTATACAGATTTAAGCGTTATGGGCGTTAGAATGGGCGTGGCAAATTTTTTTTTTTGACCAATCAATAGGTATTGACGACACCAATACATTTCAGTTAAAATTTTTTATATAGCATGAAAATTGTCGGCATCACAGGTTTTCGCGGTTTGTGGGCGTTAGAGTGGGCGTGGCATATTCGCGTAACAAACTTGCGCTGCGTATAAGGCTACGGAATCTAAATCTGAAATCCCAATTCTATATCTTTGATAGTTTCCGAGATATCCGCGTTCATATTTACGATTTGTTAAAGTTTGTGGGCGGTTTATGGGCGTTAGGGTGGGCGTGGCAAACTTTTTTTTGGGTCAATCGATAGGTATTGATGAGAACATTATATTTCAGTTCTAGCATCAAAACTGTAGGAGTCACAGTTTTGGGCGGTTTGTGGGCGTTAGAGTGGGCGTGGCACTCCACTGAAACAAACTTGCGCTGCGTAAGAAACTCAGGAATCTGCACGCCAAATCTCAATAGCCTAGCTCCCATAGTTTCCGAGATCTCAGCGTTCATCCGGACAGACAGACGGACAGACGGACATGGCTAGATCGACTCGGCTAGTGATCCTGATCAAGAATATATATACTTTATGGGGTCGGAAAGGCTTCCTTCTGCCTGTTACATACTTTCCGACGAATGTAGTATGCCCTTTTACTCTACGAGTAACGGGTATAAATATTCTTAAGCAGGCTAAAATTTACGTTTATATCAGGGAGACCCACACCTCTAAGCAACCACACTTTTATCTAATTTTGTAAACTAGTGTAAATATATGGCGGAAGGGGGAGTGACCGAGAAAGGACTTCAGGCTTGTCAAGCGTTAAATGCTCCTTCTGGTCACCCCTTCTAGTGCTGCATTAATTAAAGATGCGTGGCATTATCGGTTGGCTGCTTCCAATCCTGCAATTGTCGGGGTCCGGTTCATTGTGTTTTGAATTAATGTCAAAGTGTTCTAGTAATTGGGTACCCAGTATCGTTCATCGCCTTTTTGGCAGTGTTTACTTTCGGTCCCGGATAACAACTTATTTAACAATACACAAAGAAAGTTTTCCAAGGATTTTATATTTTTTTACGTTCAACTTATTTTATGTTTTACGACAAAATAGTAATTTATTTCAAATATATAATTTTTATAGATCGACTTATTTGCCCGCACCTTAAAAGTTTAACCAACAGATATACCAAATAATTTATGAAATCGTCACATATTCAGCCCCTCAAAAACTACTGCTTAGACAAGGGATTAAACATTTTTAATTTCTATAAATTTATATAAATGTTCCTAAAATAACATTTAAGTTCCTTTATTTATGCAGTAGATTTTGAGATAAACTCAAACCCGTATTCAAAATTGATATAATCATGTAAGTTTAAAATATTGCTCCAAATACTAAAATCCATATGTACCCTCCTAAAATAAGTAGGTATTAATAATTATAGTTAATAATAAAATAAAAGTTGTTTAATAATAGATAAATGTAAGTTCTTTCAATGCATCATTGGTGCTAACCTAATGGAACACTAGAATGTTATAGCTACAAATAAAACTAATTTATCAGTTTCTAATATTTATTTATTTATTTATTTATTAAAAGTATACGCAAAAATATTTTAAAATCTAAAAACATACAATTAACTTCTAATAAGGAATATGGGATAGTTAGGTAGGTACATAAAATACACATGATGATTGCTGGCCGAGTCACGGTACTCGCCTGATTTCCTCGATGGATCAAATGAAAGATAATTTCGATACAAATTTTAACTAAGCTTTTAGTGTATAGAAGTAACGTTGTGTGGCGACTCGTGAGTAGAATGCAAATTAATACTTATATACGAAAGTAATTTTTTAAGCTTTAAATCAATGAAATTCGAATAAGTAATAAATTCGAAATTTATACAAGATTGTGTTTCTGTATAGAGCTTAGAATGCATTAGATCGTATAATGAGCCTGCGTAGAATATAGGGATGTGCTGGGTCCTGTGCCTGTAATACTTTCGATCCGATCTGTTGGGATAGAACTTCCGCAACAGGAGCAAGAATTGAAGTTGTGTAAAATTGTTGTCGGCGTCTTATCTGTCTTCTGTCTCACGCAATAATCACAGCAGTATTTAGTATTATGACTTTTCTTTCAGCGTTTCTCAATTCTAAATAGCTAATTTTTCTATACAAAAATAAGTTAGTCTTTCTGAATGGTTCGATATCTTTCCGTTTTCCGTTGTGAAATATTGAAGTAGTGTGATAAAACCTTGTTGGGGGCCAACTAGATAAAATTGCATTACAAACTCATTTCTAGACGAGGACAATGGCGGGCGGGGAGATGGAGAGCAGGGTCTTTAATGTTTAAGGCCACTTAAGTACGGTTCTGATTCGATTTAAGTGAAGATTTTTTGTTGTTATTTTTGACCCTTGACTGACATTTGCCCTCATTTAGCCAGATAGGCTGCCTTCAGCTTTTGATATTCCAGAATTCGAGCGATTCCATACTCCTGAAAGAAGAAAAATATAAATAAATTGCTTAATAGGGTTGGTAAAACAATCGATAGCACTATCGATGTTTTTAAAATTTAGGAAACACCGATGGTTTGGACCCAATATCGATTGTATCGGTGTTCTTTTTAGAAAGTTCGCGTTTAAGTTCTCTGATCTTCGATATTATCGATAATATCGATGACGTCCATTATCGATGTTTTCCCAATTATATTATTTACAGCGCATTTAACCGTAGAACTCACCCAGTAACCAAACTCAATTGCCGATGTAACATTGATGACGGACCACAGGCTCCAGAACAGATGGGACAGCATTGTGAAGAACTGGATCTCCGCATCCACTTTGTCCAACTCCTGTCCAGTGGGATTGTAGTTCTCGTCATCGTGGTACTTCTTCAGATAGTTGACGATGAAGTCGCGCCGCTGCTGGACAGTCGCACAGTTGCTGGTGTTGTGGTAGAAGTAGGGGAACTGCGGATTGGTGTAGTCAAAGGTCCACTCGATGAAGTGGTTGGCCAGATCGTAGCCCCGATAGTTGTACGCACAGTACTCAAAGTCAATGATAATGAGATCCGGCTCATTGTCGGTTGTGAAGCTGGCATCCAGCGCCGAGTCATTTGTGGTATCCAATTCCGGGCAGGGCGACGGCGATATGCTGTGCGATTTGCTATATGTAATACGAAGAGTTTATGGATATGGTTAGTATTTGGCGTACGTCGCTCCAAACGAATGTCAAGAATAACCTGTATTTTGTTTTGCTTTGGCCAACAAGTATATTGCATTTTGACCAGCAGACACACTTTTTTTAAACTCAAATCACGACCGCAGCAAATTGGGGCCATCTAGAATTGTAGGTAGTTTTATATAGGGGTCTGGCGAGCAGAGACTTACGGCTAATGGGCCAATGGGCAAGTAGTTACTGGTTAGCAGGCCACAACAAAACAACGGGTTAGCAGTCTACTAGACTCTCGAATACTCGAGATGTACTCACTTTGTCTCCGGTTCCGAGATGTTGCTGTTGCCATCAAGACTATCGCCCAAAGTTTCGTCGAAATTGGATCTGCAAAGAATATAAGAGAGGTATTTGCTTATAATCATGAAGGCAAATAAATAATTTTTCTTTTCTTGTTTAGTCTGTCAATTAACTGGGGTGCGATAATTGATTTGTTTTAATACAGTATCATATGTTTATGTGTCTAAAAATGTTAAGAATCTGTATATTTACGCAAATATTTTCAAATACAACAAAATTGAGATAATAGACCGAATTGTTTCTATGGTACTAGGCCTCTTTAAGGGGTGATTTTAAAAATACAGCTCATTAAAAACAAAGAACTAAGATTGGGGAAATCCTAATGTTTATAACTTGGGCGCTAAACATATTAAAGATTTAAAATAAAAATGATTTGGAATGTAATTATGGGATCAATAGAGGTTTCAACCTACCTCAAACTACTGATGGACTCCCGCGGCGTGCGCTCGCTTTGACCAGCTGGAGGCTGACGCAGCAGAATGTTGCCCTCCTGAAGATCGTTGTGACAGAACACCACTGGATATTCGCCCTCGTCGATGACGGATTTCATCCAGGCGATCTCCTGTACATAGTCAAAGGTTCGCATCAATTCCATTTGCTTCTGCAGCACTGAGGACTTGGGTTTCGATTGGACATTGCCCTTTACAATGCTCTCGAGGCCGGAAACCCACCGCTGCATACAGTTCCATATCCAATCCGGCTCCTTTGACATGGGTATGTTGAGGCTATGGATCTCACCCATTTTCTCAGCCACTTTCATCAATATTCGCTGCTCTGCCAATTCCGCTGTGGTCAATGCACGTGCCTAAGTGAAATATGAAAATTAAACAAATATTATATAAGAGTTTTTGTGAAAGAGGTTGAAATTTAAAGTATTCACTATTGTTCTTCTTTACTTTGTTAGTTACAAGATCGAATCTACATAAGACAAATATGCAAGTAATATCATTTATAAGAGTGCTTTAGAAATTTCATCCATTCCAATAAGATCAGATTCCTATAACCCCTGTATAGATGATCCCTTAAACTTAAACTTCTTTTATGTTTGATCTCTGCTATAGAAAGTGTATTATTAAAAAAAAACCATACCCCTTAAGAAAACTATTTGACAAAATAACAAGATATCTCTTCCGTCAAATGATTACATTTAATATCATGAGTATATTAATATCATATAATAGTTATATGTCGACGCATTTCACATCAAATCCAATGTGAAATAAATTAAAAATGTTTTTATAAAATCATTAGATCTAAACCAATCTAATTTTGGATTTGTAAAAAAAAATTATAACCAGTTAGGGATAACTATATTTCAATAACACCAAAGCTAACTTAAGTTTAGATAACTAGTCTACGGTTATATATCACCGACATAACGGGGGTATTGCTATAATGTCCACATAACAACTTGATTATGTCAAGGATTACAGTTATAAATAGACCTCTAGTCTTTTGTTACATCCCCGACTTACCGGAATATATTGCTCTATACGTCCGCCTGGAAAGATACCGTGCAGTTTGGGTCCGAAGTTCCGCTCGCTGAGCAGGGCGAACACCACCGACTCGGTGATCATGCTCTCCAGCGCGTGATCGCCGTGGGTCTGGCCATAGATGCGCAGCAGAACCTGTGGATTAGGAATTAGGTTATAGCATGGTAGCCTGGTATTTTAGGGGACGACCTACCTCACGAGGTTCCTGTTTGGGAGCGTGCAATCGCTTCAGCGAGCTCGCGTCGCGGCTATCGCTATCGAAACGCTGACGCTTGTGGGCCTGTTTGGCGCTAGTGGCTGCGTCGTCATCGTCGTCGTCGTCGTTGTTAGCCAACTCGGTGGCCACCGATGGCACGCCCACCACCTCGGCTGTCTTGGCCGCCTCCTCATCGTCGCGTGTGAAAACGGGGCTACTGTGGGCCAATGTGGCGGTGCCTATGACGTCTTTGCCGACACTGCCATTTACCTGCTGCTGTTGCTGTTCTTGTTCTTCCTCTAGCTCATCGAAGTCATCCAAGTCGGGGAGGCTTACGTAATACAAGAAGTTGGACAGACCGCCACTGCAAAAAATAAATCAATATCAATTTGTGAAAATGCTTAGTCTATATAATCTGGCGAAATACATATTTCTAATAACCAAAATCCATAATATAAAGAACATTGACCTAAGAATTTTTTCATAAAATAATATAATATTGTTCCGGGTGTATATAATCACAAGAAGAAGGTCGCTTGCCAATTCCGTGAACACAAAAATCTAAAAATACTGTTCAGACTGGCTTAACAAATCTTTCAACAAATTAATTTGATTTCTTTTCTATATCGAAAAACAAACAATGCACAAAACATTCCAAAATAGTATTTGTATTTATACAACTTGTATTTAAATGAGAAATGCGAGATTGGAAAGATAACTATCAGGGGTGTCACAAAAATATCTTTCAACAAAAATTTCCTCGAAAAACAAACCGGTAAAAAAGTCTGATTTGAAAAAAGTTCCTAGAATCAGACCAAATTTACAAATTTACTTTATAGTTTCTCTGACACCGACGGTTTTGGTTGGTCGGTTTCCAAACCATCGACGGTTTCTGTGACACCTGTGTATATATTTATTTTTTCAAAATGAAAACATTTTTGATGTTTATTTAAGAACATAATAGATTTAAGATTGTAAAAAAAATGTCTGTAGCATCCCGAATCGTACACTTCAATAAATATGATCATTAAAAACTACAATATGATTAAACCATGTAAATGCAATGGACTAAGTTACCTTATGCGCTTCACCACCAAATTTTCAGGAGTTGCCACTTTCCAACGTCCGGTTAGATAGTCCCGGCAAATGCGTGCGGCCGCATGGCGAATTTCCTCAAGGGTGGCCTGTGGAAAACAGAGTAGAGAGGGTGGTGGGTGGTGAGGGTTTTATAACATTTATGCCAAAGAGAAAGCGGCAGGAAAGAGAATCCCGAAGAGAGAGAGAAAATCGACAAAACAATTGGCCCTGGCGAAATACTAAAAATAACAAAAACAGTGCAGGTACGAAAATGCAAATGCAATTAGGGCGCAGACAGGCAAAAGTAAAACATATTGATTAAATTTATAGTAATTGGTTATGGAACCCAAGGAGATTACACCAATCGATAGCTCTACAGTGGGATTTGAAATCATCAAATCAGACTTCTGATTCTGATCTGATAAAGAAACTAATTAGCATAAAGTGTCTTACATTCCGTTTAAAATGTTGGCCTATATTATCATAGTTGCACCGTTTACTCAAACAACAGTTTTGATCTATAATATCATCCTGCTGCTGGCGACGTTTCAGTGCTCTGTTATTCGTACAATTTCTCAGTCTCATGCTACGCGTAGTGAATCCAAATATTGAAGTACTATATAATATATGAATCGTATTATATAAATGTGGAAAACAAGTAGCGAAGGCACACAGGAAGTCTTTCGTATAGTATCGGATCCGAGCGATAAGTAGTTTCCAGCTGGGCGTACAAAAACAAACTGACTCATCGTTGCAAGACCAAGACCCGGACTACCAGTACCAGGGGTAGCCGAAATAGATATACTCTCCGTAAATCCGTACCTCTCTCACTCTCTCTCTCTCTCTATTTCGGCAGCTGTAGTGTTTTCTGCTCCACCACCATATGAACTAGGGGCGCCACCCCCAGGGTAACCATATGTTCACCTGATAGACGTCTAGGTAGAAATTGAAAAAAAAAAGATTTTCCTTGCTGAGATTTTCAACAGATGTTCTCGATGATTCTTTGTGGTGTGGTGACAGGTAAAAATAGTGGTTAACGTGCCGATTTGAAGGCTATAATTGCCTGTAACTCTTTCCCAACTCTTTCCACCCTGTTAATGGCATTTGATAGATTAGATTAATTTTAGCCACACGCTTTTTTTGTAATCTATAGTTATATATAAAGTTATGACGTGTGGCGCTGACATATTCAAGTATATTAATTACCGCTACTTTATCCGATCAAAATTGTCACCCAATCGTGCGATGAACCACATGTTGTCTATCCTTAGTAAAGTGATCCTGTCCAATATATCTTAACTTAATTTAAAAGTTATTTATTATAATATTTAAACTATAATTCTCATCTTTTCAGAAAAACAATTTCCAGAATAAACTGGATTATCATTATATTTGTCCCAGCTTTGATGGATGTTGCGGCCTCTCACTTAATCCATGGAATTTTCCACGCAACCATCGTGAAACACATGAAAATCTTCCATCCAACATTTACAAGAAAACGCACAGCACACACACACTTATCATGTCCGGTCAGTTTTGATAGTCATTTGTCGCTTTGATTTCCTCGCTCGGAAAAGTGAAAACAAATATGTTAACAATAAATACGCGATATGGCTCAGTGTGAACTGAAGTATTGAAATGACTGTCGAAATTACTATAATTAGATAGTTATAAGTAAATCTAATGGTAGGTAGTACTTTTGCGCAACAATATGGCTAAAGGTATAAACGATAATTGGCAAATGGAAAGTCGCCAACCTCAACGAGCGGATCACATGCATTGTTAATAAATGGCACAATTATTTCATTAGCCTGTTCCGGACCCTTATCACCGGCATAAAAAGTTGCGTACTTATCAGCAAACAATTATATAAAGATAGCGAAATTCTAAGAACTCTAATAAATTGTGCGTGAAGTATGTAACTTGAAGATTTATAGATCCCCCACGTGTACTAATCAGAACCTTATCAACAAATTGTTAATTATACCATAAATATTTTGAAAGTTAAGGTCATATAATAATAATGCTTTGGACAACTTCTTTGACACAATTATTTAACACTATTCGAGATAAAGTAAAAGTAGGTTTAGTAGGCTAAAAAACGTATGGAAATTTTGGTGAGAGGGCAGACCTTAGTGTAATCGTGTTTATAGCCAATGTTTAACGCCACTGGCACTAGTGGGTCATTTTAAATCGATAAGCATAATCGCCCAAAATCAATTTGCAGGCGATAAGATTAGACAAACTTAGCTTGGTACTTAACGATAGTTACTTTGGACCTAAAACGTCACTTAAGATTATCCCCAAAAAAAATAAGAATTCACTAATACACCATCAAGTGAAATGAACGTTTTTATGTATGCAATAAACTTACATATAAACCAACACGTTTGAATCTGATAGCCAACAATTACAAATATAATTAAATGATAAAACGTGAATTCAGATTTTGATTTATGGGCTCTTAGTATTCGTCTGATTCTTATCTATTTCCATCAAGATAACGCATTAATCGGTTGATAATGTTTATTATTCATAATGAGCAAATAACCCCACCTAATGGGTATTTAATGGTATTCCGAATTTAAGGCTTAATTTTGAGAAACGTGCAAGTTGTTAATGAAATAGTAATGTAATATAAAAAGAGAATGCAACTAATATATGTTCAATATATCGATTTAGTGATTAACACTTGCAATGTGTGCTAATGGCTTAATTAGCTCTATATATTTACAATCAATATAAACTTTGGGAATAACCGACAAGCGATAAAAAAACCAGATATAATCAGAATAAGGGCCTATATACAGATGACTCAATAAAAGGCGGGTAGTGTAATCTATCAAACTGCAATTGAGATTTTAACTGCGCAATGACTGGCAAAACACGTGATCCAAAGTGGCGACTGACTATCTAACCGCAACAATGTTGTCAAATTAATATGATCGTATAATCTATCTATACTGCCCAAAAATCACTTTTGATCACCGGGTGAGCGCCGCACGCAATTCAAAAATGAAATAAACCAAATGACTATACCCCAAGTTACTGATAAGTGGGAGTATAGGAGGACGGCGACGGCAATGAACGCAGAAGTGATCCACGAGTGGCGATAAGAAATCTTTCTGTGCGAAGTGCGATTCAGCCAGGAGTCGCAAAAACTGTAAATGGAATGCGAGACAATTCTAAGATAAGATGGGTTCTTTTATCGAGCTATAGAGTAATTACTTCGAGACAATATACTTCCCATATAGACGTTGATTTAGTGATAACAAGTCAATGAACCATAGAAGGACACATTTTATTACAACAAGTCTCGATTAAAAACACTGGTGTTTACTAGTCTAGATGGGAACTTAAAAAAAAATTTAGTGAATAATTGATATTACGATGGTATGGGCTCGAATCCCATCACGTTTAATTACAGAATATTAAATTTTGAATATTCAGATACCATTTACAAGTGAAGATGTAAAATCAGCAAACGGATCAGGATATCATGTAATTATGTGTATTACGTAATATTATTTCCGAACCAGTGTATTTTTTTGCCTGAAAACCTTTTCCTTGGGAATACAGTCAGTAACAGCTCCGATCTGAATACGCAAAAGCTTGCGGTCATTGCACGAAACGTGTGGGAAAAACATTGGCAAAACCTGACACATTCGCAAAGCGCTTGGGAGAAAATGTTTAAGCGAGGCCTGCGACTTTGGGAGTCACGGTTTTCTTACCTTTTGCAGGTTTGTGGACATCGTCCTCTGCTCTTTTAAATATTTATGCTGGTTTGGTTGGCAATTCCAATTCCGGAACGAAGGCACTAGCACTCACAAACACCAACAATATGGGGCAATAATACGGCACGAGGTTAAAAAGCACTTGAACGGACTGCTGTTGAACGTTGTTTCGACGTCACTTGGTATTAAATATAGTTGCAACAACAATGGCAATATTGTATTATATTAAGTACATGCGCGGATTCAGTTTCTCAGGCACTTTTAACGGTTTCCAGTGCGTCTACTCGCGAGAACGCTTCAGTTTCAACTAACACTCGCCGCCTTCGATCGGGGGCCAAGTAGAAAAGCTTTTTTTACTTGGAGCAGAGAGACGGCGACTCTCCCTCTACTCTTTTCGCGATTCTTCTGCTATCTTATCAGTAATGACTCGACTTTCGCAAAACGTACATACGTGGTGAAGTCCCGAAAAATACTGAAATACCTTCGGATTGCTTCTGAAATTGAAATTTTAAATTTTGAAACCTACATCGAAACAAACTGTCAAAATAAAAATGAAAAGAATTCAACTTAATAACAATTTTAAACTACGCCTTAAGGGCGAAAAAACCTGTTTCTGTTTGTATTTAATTCAATACATTACGTTTATACCCTTGCAGAGGGTATAATGATTTCAGTGGGAAGTTTGCAACGCAGTGAAGGAGACGTTTCCGACCCCATAAGGTTATATATTCTTGATCAGCATCACTAGGCGAATCGATCTAGCCATGTCCGTCTGTCCCTCAATTTTAAAGCTATCGGGATGAATCCATTTCAAACGTGTTATTTATATTGCAGTTCGGAACGAGCCATATCGGACAGGATGTAGCTGTCCCAAATAGCTCCCATAGGAATGATCAAAAAAATATTTTTTAACAAATTTAAAATAATATATATTAGTTCTGTGTTTTTGGACTTTTAAACGTTACTCTTGGGATCATTCTTATAATATTTCAGAATTTTGAACATAGGAACAATCGGAAAATTAATGTTAAAATACATAGACCCATTTTTTCTAAAAATCGGAAAACTCTGTACATAAATTGCTTCCACGGCAACGACCTGCAAGGGTATAGAAACTTCGGCGTGCCGAAGTTAACTTCCTTTCTTGTTTGGGCTTACATTTGTTTGTCTATTTATCATTTTCTAGGTCAAAGACGTTTAATTGCGTTTCAAAATTATGTTTACAAAAGCTTTTTTTGTCTTTTTCAAATAGAATTCGTGACGAGTCGCACGAATGCCCAGTCTGAAATAATATTTAGCTTTAACTACAAATATTATGTGTTTCAACTTTACTTGAAAATATTTATAGTTCTCGATAATTTTAGAATTATTAAAGTTCCAATTTGAAACTAGTTTTGATATGTTGAGCAGGCCACGTATAACTGTATTTTTCGATTCAAATTTACCGCTCAATATGAAAAAATCAAAAATGGCAACTCTTTAACATGGCGTTGCCAAGTCGACGCAACCTCCAGAGTTGTCACTATAACAATGCTTTGAAAAAGCGTTACCAGACCATCAAAAGAACTCAATAAACACCTAAGGCCAAAATAATAGTAAATGGTGCTTAATAAGATTCTTTTCATTAACATATATATGACAATCCTTTAAAAATTATGTTCACCAGTGAAACTGATATCAAATGTAAAACATATTTACAAAGTATCGTCAAAAAATCAGATAAAGTGGTACCATATAGAAGGTATCCTTAGGATAACGACTTTTTCAAATCTGTATTTCCCTTTACAATAAAAAATATTGTTAATTTTAGTGATCTTACGAATTTATATACATCTGAGTGCATGTACTTAAATAGAGCCGACGTACAAATAGCAAGGAAAGTTTTTAAACCATGATTCATCCAATATGTGTATATTTGAAGAGCTTTTTTGCAACCAAAATTACTAGAAAATGAATGATTCACGCTCCAGATCATTCATACATATGTATTCTGGTAGAACCAAGAGCTTTTTCTAGAAGATTCCACGTGAGATAAGGTTTCCACCACGATTCACTCTACTCCTTTTCACCCACAAAAGTACAGTTGTGTCCATAGTTCTCATGACCGAATAAATAACCTTAAACAAAGAATCAAACAATTTACGTAGCATTTTGTTTTGTAAGTTTTTCTTCCATTTATTTTTGTATGTTCTCGAATTTTCTTTTTGCTGAATGCCGGTTTTCTTGGCCATTACTAAACTTGGGCCCTTTAACTGATTCATGTTGGTGGCTGCTTGTGGAAATCGGCTTACTAACTTACAATTAGTAAGGTTGGCTTAAGTACACGCCCCAGACAAACAATTTCGAGCGCAAAGACAATGGAAAGTAACGGAACGGAAAATTGCGAGTAAAATAGTTACAAATCTTGATTATACATTAAACAAGGTTATGGTTGTAAAGACATTCAAATTTCTATGCCTTCGCCCCGTCTATTCAAGAACTACACTGCTTTTTTTTTATTGCTATATAAAAATGTAATTTCTTATTCCGTTTTTTTGTGGTTTTTATTGTTTCTATATGGTATGATTTGTTTCGTCTCTTTTCGCCAGTTGGCAGAAACTTCAACTTTTCTGGGGGTGTTGTTGTTGGCAGCTTGTTGTTACATTTGCTGTTTTGTAGTTTTGCTTGTTTCATATATATATAAATATTCATACACAATATAGGATAAGGTTGTAAAATTAAAATTCTTTAAGTGACAAAAAAAGTTATTTTGCCTTCAAATTTCTTATTGTTGCTTTTCTTATTTAGAGATTTTGTTTGCAATTTTTTTCATTCGCTTCGTATTTATTACAATTATTAAATTTGACGCTTTTTGTTTACAACTTTTAATCTTAAAACATAGAGGGTCTCGCATCTTAATTTCGCTTACTCTGTTTTTTTCTCTTAATCTTTCGCTTTATATATATAATTTGCTTTAAAGTTAAGTTTTTAAGTAAGGTTTTTTAAATGATAATGGATTTTTGTTGTTTCTCGTTTGTTGTTGTTGGTTGCTTGGTTGGTAGTTGGTTTTTGTTAGTAGAGACAGAGAGAATCGATCGGTACGCTATAAGACTACGCTCCCATTTGCAGGATTGTTATTGGAGAATTGCGCCCGCCCACCCACGCGCAGCCACCCACTCACACGTGCGAACGTTGGTAGAGTGGGTGGGTGGTTTGGTGCGTGTTGCTGGCGGTAGAACCGTAATTTGTGTGTTTTGCGTTTGTTTGTTTTTTGTGTTAGTAAGTATTTTATAAGTAGATTACTGAGTGTGCTGCTCCGCGGGCGATTCCCTTAGGCGGCCACTTCGCTAGCCTCGGCCCCGTTCTGCACCTCATCCTTTGTGCTGGCCTCGTCCAGCTTCGCCTTCTTCTCCGGCGTGGCAACGGCCTCATCGGCCTTGGCGGCGGCCTCGTCCACCTTCCGCTTCACGGCCTCGACGGCGGGAGCATCTAAAATGAGTAGTAATAGTTAGCACCTGAGCTCAGGAATCGGTGAAGCATATTACACACCTGTTGAGTCACCGTTGGCGGCCTCTTCGGCACCGTTCTCAACAGCAGCTGGAGCTGCTTCGCTGCTCTCCTTCTTGGCCTCCTCGCCATCGGCGGCGGACTCTTCCTTCTTGTCCTCGTCCTTCTTCTCCTCCTTCTCATCCTCGGCGGCGGGAGCAGCGGCCTCGGCGGTCGCCTTCTCACCATCGACGGCATCGGCGGCTGCCGCGCTGTCGGCGGCCGGTGCTCCGTTCTCCTTGGCGGCGCTCTCCTCCTCGGCGGCACCGTTCTCTGTGGTGGTTGGCTTCTCAGCTGCTGCCTCCTCGGCGGCAACGGCGTCCTTCTTCACAGCATCGACTTCCTCAGCTGCGACCTTCTCGACGACGGGGGTCTCGCTGTGGATAAAAGGAAAAAACGTGGATGAGTATATTTTATTGTGGAAAATGTATTGTTTATTGAAATAATGTGTTGTCTTCATTTTACCAATCCTATATTTGTTCTTGCGTGTGGCAGTGATTAAGGAAAACAATGGAATTTAAATTTCAATAGAGGGAACCTATTCTTGCATGACTAATTCGAGAACCCTGTTTGGTTGTCTGATGGTATCATCATTTTATTAATACACAAACACTAATTGGTAATATGAAATCATTATATTGAAACAGAATTTTTCTAGGAACAGTAATTAACAATTTTTATATAATTTTTTATAAAAAAAATACATATTTCAAAATATTTATAAAATAAAAACATCAAAATATTCAGAAAGACATATTTTAAAGTATTGAGAAATACATATTACAATTTTAAAGGTTTTCAAAGAATTAATCAGTAGTGTTTAGTTCTATTTAGGAAATCTATTCTATTTTCAAAATCGGAATATTTCAAATCCAAGTAGAATAATACATTTTCAGCCATTTAAAAATTTCCTTGGTCGTATTACATCGCACTCACACAATGGTATTTCAAACATTTGTGAAATTGGAAAATTTTCCATTCTAGCGCCGGTAACGTTTTTTTTTCCCCCGTTTCCTTGTTTCCTTCCTCTTGCCACTTTTTCCCCATTATCCCTCTCTTTCCAACAACAACAACGGCAGCACAAAGCATCATTGTAACATCTGCCTGCGTCGGCGTCGCTGCCGTAAAATGATAAATGGGAGCAACAACTCGTGCAAACTGCGACGCAAAAAGAAACCAGAAAAGGTGAGCGGCATTTGGCAGCGTGCTCTTTTCCATATAAATGGCATGCCTTATAATGTGTGCGAGTGTGTAGAAACAACCGAAAAGTGGGAAGCTAAAAGAGATGCTTGCAGACGACTTGCAAAAAGTAAAAAAGCGCGACTTGTTTGAAATAAAACGGTCGAACGAGAGGGGAAATAAAAACTGGTTTTTATGCGCCTCTATATAGTGGTCTCGCTCGCACGCACCTACGAGCGGTTTAAGTGTGCGCGCATCACGTAGCCATGAGGCAGAGAGAGAGGGAGTTAAGCAGTGCAAGCGAGAGGCAGAGTTGTAAAGTGTGCAACGCAAAGCGACAAAAATAACGGTCAAAAGACACCCACTATGCTATCCTTTTCCTCTCCCCACAATCCATGCCAAAGAAAACCGGCACAACCTAAGACAACAGACAAGATTTAACGGGTTTTTTCCTGCCATTCCATTCCCACCCCCAAAAATGTGAGGCGCAAAAGAAAACTTGAAAAGAATGCGGTTCATGAGCCGGCGAGCAGCTTGCGATTATTTTTGGCAATGACAAAATACCTGGAAGCGAGAACAAGAATTCGTCGGCAGTTAATGCCAAG